GGCGATATCATATCAGCAAATAAGCGGGACTCGGGCGAACAAAATGTCATAGTACTTTCACTGAAGCCCTCTTCAGCAAGAGCTGAGAATATTTGCTGATTCTTTTATTCCAAGGCTGATTCGAGAGAAATTATAGAGTGTTCCTGTCTCGTAAAGGACTATGAAAGAATGATTACTCTTGTGGAGCGAAAGAGATTTACCAGGAAGTAGAAAACTATTTGAGACAGCAGTCATAAGATGTTATTAACTATGTTGGTGGTATTTAATTTGAGTTCTTGGCACTTGACCACTTCTTTTATGGACTTACCTTGCAACCTTTCAGAAAAAAAATTTCCCCGGCCCACTTTGACTTCTCCAACAATGTTCATTCCTCTGAAAAAGAGCAGCTCCGTTGATAAGCAGGTGGAACTGAAAGGATATAAGCTTGCACAACGGGCGCATTCCCCTCTGGAACTCTGAGTCACTTCGGTCTGGACCGCAGCGGCTTCCAAATGCAATATTGCCTTTGCATGCAACCATATGCATTGGAAACCTATGCTATCTGGTTGTTAAGTCAGTTTTTATCTTCCGGGGCATTATGGTCAGTCCAAATTGCGAGTTAGAGGGGTTATACGGCATTCGTAGCGTCTCGAAGCTATTATTGGAAAGTAGACCTAAGAGCGCGCGTGGAAAGCGACTGTCATCATATTCCTTCTGCACATTATTTTTAGGTATCCACAGTAAGTTATGGCCTATTTCCATTCGCTGCATAGCGAAAAGATCACTCTGCGCGTTGAAGGAGCAGTATGAAGGGCTGAAAAAGAATTCATAAAATAAAGCAGGTTCCGCTAAGAAGCAAGTAATCCTTATATCGCTGCTCAATTTACTAGGTCAGCCACCTTGGAAGTAGTATTATACAAATGGGTTTGCCTTTTGTCATTACAACACATTTTTTGTTCCATTATGCGTTTTTTCTTTTCAAGGTTATGACTACAGATAAAGATCTGCGTTCAAATCCCCAGTATCGCCTCATGAATCAAATAAATTATCTTGACTTCGGTCAGATCACATGCCATATCCTCTGTGGAATATTCGTGGTTTTCTCACAGATTCCTGTACGAATTCAGGCACTAGTGCGGGTAGGTTTCTTCAAAGAATAATCCGCTGCTTTCGTGGAAAATTCTTTTAATCAGTTAGGGTCATTTGAGTGCAATAATTGATCCCATAGAGCTCTCTCACAGACGCTAGGAACGTGTGTGATTCAGTGAGCGTAAGCGTGGCTGGAGAACAGGATTCTCCTATGAAATGTACATAATTCGATCTAATCACTGGACTTATTGCTCGGTGACTCAAAATGCAAGTGGCAGTGCGCCATTAATTACTTTCTGTGGATTGTAGTCCCATCTCGGTCTCATTACAACTTTGAGCTCTTTCACAGAATTAAGCTTCCGGGAAAGGTGACGATAAATAGGCACTTCTTGGAAGTCCACTCGGGTGGGGGGGGGAGTGCAAAGGCGAGCATCACGTGGGTTCAGTGCGACAGAAGATAATGAAAAACAGAAAAATGAGCGGCGATTTTTGCCTTGGGCGAAACAACTTATTTTTTTGCACTGAGAACAGGGTCGGAAAATAGTGGCAGAGTGGATGCATTCACCTTCTTAACTGATAAACATATTCATCGAACCGCGCAAATAGCAGCCCATTCCACCAGAAAAGAATCTAAAAGATCATCTTAATTTAGTTGTTGTCTTTGAACGCATGCTCCTCTTGTATCGGGTCTCCTCCCCTAACACTATAAAGCGCATGAACCGCCAAAGTTCTCTCGATAAAGCGCATTTTCAATTCATAAAAGGGAACCTACGTACCTATCATGTTCGCATAAACCTATCCGTCTGTTGCGCATAGGTGCAAGACACGGCTGCCCTTATGGCAGGACACATATGCTTTCACATGAATAAAGTCGCAGCACCTTTGACTACTCTACAGTGCACACTTCGCTTTCCGTGTATTTCCCCCTCAGTTGTATTCCCATTACCACAACCGTTTGATGCTTTTTGGCCTTGACTACAATTGTGATTCATAATCTTGAGCCATGGGAACTACCCACAAAGGGGAAGTCTTATATCGCACGCTTGCTTTCCTCACGTGACTGATGAGGAAGAAATGTGTTCTACGATATGGAGAAGTGTTCGCGAGAAAGGAAGGAGCAATCCGGTGACGGAGAGGGGATGCATATTGCATTTTCGCTGCTTCCACTAGTTCCTGTTTACAAGTCTCACTCAGGTGAAACCTGCGAACTCTTATGAAGCTAGAGCATACTCGTTCGAGGCACCATGGTACATGGAACTTTTATGGTATTTTCTTGCTTCACTAGAGTTGACTATGCGAACTTAGGCTGGTATCATTTCGTGCCTTCACAATATTTCACATTTCTCCATTTGACGGCTCCGCACGTCGATGGGGAGTAGCAAAAGTGCTAATTACCCCTACCCCTAATCCGTCGCCAAACTGCGCCGAAATATTAGGCTGATCAAGCAGTTTGAATAGGATTTTTTGAAAGCTCCAGAACTCTCGATTCTTGATCGATACCAATGATCTACCAGTCGGTAGTGATAGAACATATAATATTAGGTCATCCATTCAAAACGTGCCGCCGGTTTTACTTGAATAAAACAAAGAGGAGAATAGATAAAAAAGTAATATTTTAGCCTTAGCTCAAATAAATCCTCCCTTCACCAATGACCGCTGCCAGCTGCCCAAACCTCTGGTACCTTCCATTTTTCAACAAGTGTGGGTAAGTTGCTGTTGATGCCAGTTTCGGCAAATGACAAAGCATTGTAGCGTTTGCCGTCAGAGAGTACCCTCGACTAACCAGATCAGTTGGAATCGAACGGCTTTATGTTGAGCGAATGGGGCGATTGAGAACCATGCGATCTCGTATTGTTTGTGTCCTAGCACTGCCCTACAATACAGTTACTCGGGGTCTGGCACTATGACGAGCAACGGTGGCCTTCTTGTAGTTGTGTGGTAGCATCCATTTGGGACCGATCTTGCATTATCGAGGCAACAGCACCGACAGCGACGATTTTGTTCTCTGTATAGAGCCGCTAAAAAGCCACAGTGCAGAAATCCTTCGCTATGATGATCATCCACTTGCGCCCACGTAACTCCTCATGGTAGAACTCGGGCGGCTTCTCATCTGCATTCATACAAAATTGACGATTGTGAGTTTCGGCTCGAGGTCCGAGACCACCCATATTTCATCTAAGGCCTGGGTGCGTTTTCACAGTTGTGAGTGACATCTCATGCTGAGAACATTACTGCTAGAGGTATAGAATCGGTACTGCGTTCGTGCTTCTATAAGAAAATTGGGTACCCATGCGCACACCCCTTGACCATCCTCAGTTTATCGGTCATAACACGTACAGTAATTGCAGCAGGGATGTCAGCCTCGCGGGGCAAGCTCGACAAAGGTCCAGGCTCTGTGATCAGACAGAAATCTTCGTCAACGACTCCGTCATTCTCGACGCCGTATCAAAGAGGATCCGGAAGTTAACACCCGCAGTCTTGCGACGAGACTTGGGTGTGCCCAATCAACAGTAGACGGTCGCCTTCAGGCCCTCGGTTACAGAAAAGTGCTGACTCGATGGATACCTCATGTCTTGACCGATAGCATGCGGTACACCCGGGTATCCATTTGTCAGTCTCTCCTTCTCCGCCCACATCGCAAGGAGTTTCTGGAGGACCTTAGTTACTGGAGATGAAAGCTGGATCCTCTGCGACGCCTCAGCTGTAGAAATTGCGGAAGTCGTTCGAGAAAAAAGGCCTAGACGAACTTTTGTGCATCTCCTCCATGACAACGCTAGGCCTCACGTTGGTAAGGAAGCCGTGCAAAATCGGAGGAGCTAGGCTGGGACGCGGTTGAACATCCACCCTATTCACCTGATATTGTCCCCTCAGATTACCACTTGTTCCGGCCCCTCAAGGCTTTCCTAGCAAAAAACGATTCGTCAACTATGACCACCTTGAACAAGTGGTCGGTGACTTCTTTGACTCCCAATCTCCCCAGTTCTGGGAGAAGGGAATCGCTGACCTGCCCGTTAGGTGGGACAATGTTATGACTAACGATGGTTATTATATTGTTGATTAGCTTGCATTGTTTGCTGAGTTGTAAAATAAAACAGAAAAATCTCAACCCTATCAACCTAATAGATTACACTCAGCTAGCCATAGCTGAGCTTTGATTCTGTACAACTGGTGTTACAATGTACCTCACTGTCTAGTTGACAATGAGGTACTACAGCTCAAGGAAGGTTCACTTTCTATTCAAGGATGCAGAAGAGCACTGTGTGCCTCGAAGACTATCGTGTTTCTTGAGTCGAAGAACGAACTCGAAGAGGCTGAGTGGCTACTGATTAAAGGAAGAGCAGGAGAAACCGTCGAAAAAGTCTGAAAAAGCCTGGTTGATTCTCGGAAAGAAGCGGCACGCGGTGAATAAATGGCGTAGGCATGCTCATATAAAGAGTAAATGTGCAAGCAAGAGCTGCACAGCCGCACACGCAATAGAAATAAATTCTACAGTAACGCGGCGCAGCGCCCGTACGTTTATGGCCCTCGAAGCTATCCACCTTTTCTGAAAATCTAAAGCTCTAAGCGCTCTTATCACACATATTCGAAAGTGATGCATTCTACGCGTCCTTGGAAGTGGCTCTTTTACACATGAATAAAATCCCTCCAATGAGATTATCGCAGCATATCCACTGATGTAGTAATACTAACTCCCCCTGTTCGCTCCACAGAACCGAAAACGGGAAACGGAAGTTTTCGCAAAGGAACGACTGCAGCTTCGCTTTTGAAACCGCTCCTTATCTCCTGCATTCGAGAAGCCCGGCTGTCAGGCCCAATCTTTAATGTTATCGTCAGTTAATTACAAGGAAAATGGATGAATAGATAGGAGTGCTGGAAGTACCATTGTGTTGTTTTAGATCGTTGGTTGTACTGCAAACTCGTGCTGGTTGGCAATGTTTCCTGTTATGAGTGTCTTAGCGATTAGTCGTATCCTCATTATTCAAAATTTCGTGCGACCTAAGGAGACTCCAGCAGTATTGAAGGTTGAAACCCTTCATTTCCATGTAACCATGAGACATCTGCATGTAGAACTATGACTTTCACTATGAAATTCTTGTGGCACAATAGCCCTGCCACCACTCACCGCTGCTTTTTTTCTCGCTCTTTTCCTTTGTTAGTGTCAGTAAATTATTCTCACAGTGAGATCAGTATGTGCTTAAGGTGTTGATGGTGGTCGGCTGGCTCTACTCCATCGGTGTCTGGCTATGGGGGTGTATCACTCAAAATTTCGCACTCGATGGTGTCGGATGGAGCTACGACTTGACCAAGCTTGGAGCTCCAACATTGTCAGCGCTTGAATGGTACCTATGTTTTCCGTCACTTGGACTGACTTATATAGGCTACCTCGTCATTGTGATTCACGTAGAAGCGGTGGGTATTCTACAACGTAATACCCTATGTAGAATTTTGTAGGCTGATCCCTCTTTAGGTCAAAAAAATCGCGCATCGCGAGTGGAGCGCGATTCTTTTGACCCATAGAACGATCACCGATTTTTCGTTTTTTGTGTGCCTTTGCTTCGGGCTCCTATTTCTTTTCTAACGTTACAATCAATAGTCTTGCTAGCCTTGCGCACAAGCAATATGGAACACAGCTGTCAAATCGGTGTGTCGACACAAAGGTAGTCTAAACTGCAGAGAAATAAATCAGAAAAACAATTAGAAATTCCCGCGCGCATGATTTGAAAAGTTCAAGACGAAAATGTAGCTCACCTCGAGTATGGCATTAACGCCAGATAGAGTCATCTCAGCGAATGCCAACTTCTGTCTACTGGAACAGAGTTTAAGTCAGAGGATATATGTAAATCTGTAAATAACTTACCATCTGCAAATTTTCATGCTTATTCTCTGACAAAGTTAGATAAATTATGGAGACGAGAAGTCAATGCGAAAGGTTCGACGGGAGCAAGGAGGCGAGTGGCCATTAACCTTGAAAGCAAGAAATACCAGTGAAAAAAGGAGTACCGAGAAGGTTTTACCTCAGTCCCCGTGCTGCCTTTTTTCTTGTGAACCGTAGAGCGCAGTTGTAGAGAACCTGCCAGAAAACGAAGAGCAAATTGGCAATCATTGCGCTAACCGTAAGCTGAGAATTCTTGTTTTGACGATGCATTTTTCCCCCTTAGTGAACTTTGCTTGACTAAAATAGGTGGACAGGCAGTACAAGAAGGTACCACGACGGTGTAAACTACATCCTCACCTAAATTCTATCCTAGTATTCCTGAAATCCAGGAAATCGAAATTTTCCGAAATCTGGCAAAAAAATAAAGTTACTTGTAGACAAAACGCCACACGACGACGACTAGCAGCCGAAAACAAGAAATGAAAATTTTTCTACAGGCAACGTTTCTATGTTGTTATATAAGCACCCTCATTATTCTCTGGCACAACGCAGGTAGATCATCAGCATTCTTTGACCAAATCAAATTGATGATGTGCTTTCCGTTCAGCCGATTGGTTTAATATGACGACCGCCACGATCGCTATTCTGAATTGTGCTTGGATATGTTTCACATACCTGAACCCATTTTTACTCATTACTTTGAATCCGTAAGTTATTTTTGTTATGAGGGATATACGAAGGCTTGTCGTTCTTTTCGGGGAGTTGGTTTGTTATGAAGACCGGCACGAGCGCGATTCTGAGTTGTGCTTGGATATGTTTCTAATCTGAACCATTTCTGCTCATTGCTTTGAATCCGTAAGTTATTGCTGTTACGAAGGATATATGAAGGCTCGTCCAGTATCCTGGCAAGTACTTATTTATGTGGCGATTTGGAAGAAAGATCCCATCACCTTGATAGGAAACCTATACCAGTATTCTTCTACACCGTAAAAAAACATTTCATTCTTAACTCGAGGTGGTTATCACTATAATCTCGTGGTTGTAAAATCATAGGTCCAATGTGAGGTCAACCCACCACATCAACAAAAAGGTAATGATTGAGAATTGACTAGTTCGTATTTAATCAGGAGCACTCCGAAGAAATAACAATCCCTGAAAGGCGACAAGGACCTTGAACGCCGAGAGATATTATGCCAGTGAGGTCCTCAGATACACCACAGACGGCGCCGTAGTCTACCTCAGCCAAAGTGATTCAATTATGGCGTGTGACATCAGGGACCATGTGACTTTTGGGCAATAATTCTGACGTTTGCTAAATTCCTTTACCATCAGTTTTTCAGGACAATTCGAAAAAAGGTGATGGCGGTCATTGGTTGTGGCAAAAATATCTCAAGAGGTACTGCGGTAATCACGACTAACAATAAGCCAACCAGGTCAAACTAGTTAGAAAACTACCATACAAACCTTATGGTATGTCGGTTGTGTGGGTTATGTTCACCATTTTCCTGGTTGCGTTTCTTGTGTCGAAAATTGTAAATAGTTACGCCTAATAAATGTTTATCAGATTTAAAGAGGTGTGAGGTGATCACGACTAACAGCAAGCTAACTAGGTGAAACTAGTTGATTGCATGTAAGCCCATGAAGAACCTTAGAAACATGGCAATGTTTGTTAACGAATAGACGCTGGGTAGATTTTCTGTGCATTGACGATTGGTTACTTCAGACCAGATTCGACATTAATGAGTACACAAGAAGCAGAAGGTAAACCTGTGTGGACAAATTTAAAGACTTGACCTACTCCTTAATAGTGACGCACGTATCTCTGAAAGGCGTTACAGGATACTCTCGCGATCCTTCCCATCCTTCAGAGACGGGCTCCAGAGTTTCCAGAAACAGGTAGGCTACTTTTTCCGATTTGTTCCTGAGGTTTTGAGCACACGACGCTTCATACGCAGTGAATACATAATAATGCATACATAATACATGGGCAATGAACGGCCGCTCCACTCTCAAAATCTAATAAAATGAAATGTGTTAGTATCTGAGTTTCTTTCCTTTGGGTCTTTTCTTCATTGACGCTACACGCCACGGAGCAACATACACATTACAACACCATCGACGCTGAGGCAACTTTGCATTTATACAAAGGTAAGTGTATTAGTTGGTTAGAACCGCATTCTACCTCATATCGTATGACGGATAAGGGAAGAGGGCGGTTCTCCGTTCAGTAATGACACACCAATGGCAATGTTTGTAATGATGAAACGTATATGAGAGAAGAGTTGATGACCTGTTGATGTAGAAGGCCCTATTTACAGACGAATGTGAGCATGAGATAATAGTATCATTTACCTTAGTGCTCCCCGTAAATGTGCAGAGCGAAGATCTTTTGAAAAACTGCATGCAGTTCTCGTTGGAGTTGCACTGCACTGCACAATAGGTATGTTCTAGAATCTCCACGTTGTCCCTTCTTAACCTCGGCATGATGTCGAATGTTCAGTTACTTCTGCCAAACGAGGTTTTTAGATGACACCTTTTATTGGCCTAACGTTTCGACCTTCTCGTCTTCTTCAGAGGCCTGAAAATGGCTCGAAGCTTTTAATTTGTTACCTACCCGACCAAACGCCCTCCCCACTCTAGCGTTTCCGACTTCGTTCCCGAACGCTTCCCAAAAACCCGGCAATGAGTCCTAACAACTCACCGAAGGTCTCACCGTGCGGAGCTCAGCTCACGCTGTGTGTCAGTTGAACCAGTAAGGACGAATGAGACTCACTTGTGTCTCACTGTGTCGCATAAGTCAAAATTGTCATAGCGCACGTAGTCCTTACTGTAGCTCGCACTCTGATACAAACAGGAAATCATTTGTAATAGACATACACTCATATACTGGCGTACAAGACGGAAACTTCAGCTAGGAAAGTTTTGGAGTCATTCTGGATTTTCGCGAGAAAACCAAGAATGAACAACCGAAACGAGTGTCTGGCTATTACAAATGAATTCCTGCCGTTTGTATCAGAGTGCGAGCTACAGTAAGGACTACGTGCGCTATGACAATTTTGACTTATGCGACACAGTGAGACACAAGTGAGTCTCATTCGTCCTTACTGGTTCAACTGACACACAGCGTGAGCTCGACCCGGTGAGACCGTTGGTGAGTTGTTAGCATTCATTGCTGGGAAGCTTCGAGGTCGGAAAGTCGGAAAGTGGAGGTCGAAACGCTAGAGTGGGGAAGGCTTGTCGGGTAGGTAACAAATCAAAAGCTTCGAGCCATTTTCAGGCCTCTGAAGAAGACGAGAAGGTCGAAACGTTAGGCCAATAAAAGGTTCATCTAACAACCTCGTTTGGCAGAAGTAACTGAACATAAGTATCTGTTACATTTTTTTTTTGAAAAAAAGATGAAATAAACGGAACAGGGCGTGCTTGATGACTTTATGAAAAAACAGTAAGGCTGCGTTTATACTTTGCGGCAGCGTAGCGTAGCGCCAGCGTGCCGCTAGCGTATCGACGCTAGCGTACGCCAGCGTTTCTCCAGCGTTTCACCAGCGTTTTGCTAGCGTTTGCAGCGGCAGGGGAGTAGAGACTATGTGGCCGTCGGAGACGCAGAAGCGATGTGCATTGTAGAGACTAAGGGCGAGTGAGAGACGCGCAATCGATGTGTTTTGTACCCTCCAGCTCTCCCATAGTCTCTACTCCCCTGCCGCTGCAAACGCTAGCAAAACGCTGGTGAAACGCTGGAGAAACGCTGGCGTACGCTAGCGTGACGCTGGTGACGCTGGGAACGCTAGATCGATATGCATCCTCTCCCCGGCACTGCCGCTGGCGTACGCTGGAAGCGCTACGCTACGCTGCCGCAAAGTATAAACGCAGCCTAAAACCGATCGAGTAGTGGTTTGCGCGGCAAGCCAAGTCTCAAAGTCTCTCAGTCTCAAAGAGCATCGTGGCGTTGTGAGAATCGCGTCAGGAGATCCTACCTGGTCGCTGGGAGAGGGGATAGTTTTGACGTAAGTTTTTTTAATCCCCGTTTCGCTCATTTTATGGGTCCTTAGGAAGAACTGGAAAATTTCTTGGAAAGCTAGGGAAGATGTCTCGTCCGGGGGGGGGGGGTGGGCAGCATCATTTCATACACTATGATGCTATACTCATTAAGTCATTTCAGAGCTAGAACTCGCCTACAAAGAAATATGTAGTTGTTGTAATGAAAACCAACTGCACACTCACCTCCCAAGACGGTCCCACGGTCCCTGCCATGTGCGAAGTGAATGGGTGCGCAACTGCAGTAGCGTGCCACCTTCTCCACTCAGAAGGGCGCGCGAACCAGGCTATAGGGTAGTGCTACCCAAGTGTCGTCTTCACACTTCGCCCACTCTATCTCAATATGAAGCACTTGCGTTGCTTTCGCAACGAAAAGCGTTCCCAGCGCCACAGTGCAACCAAAATTCAGATTGTGCCGGCAAGTAGCGCGTTCATCTGTGTTAGGGGGTTGTGCCTGGCCATGTTGCAGCGCGGGCGTGTTTTGGAAACCAAATCCGGGTAGCACTACCTTTCCACTCCGTTCCCGTGCACTTTGGACCTTAGAAAATGGGGCGCTACTACAGCAGCAGGTCCATCCCCCCAAACAGCCCAAAACACTGTTCACGGAGCGTCCATTATGTCTTCAACGGCAACACCCACACCACCATAGCTCTTAGCCTGTCTATTTGCTCGTCTGTACAAGAATTCGACATTTTCCAAGGAACCATTTGCAGGCTGAACCAAGTTCGGGTAGGGTAGGTATGCATAGAGATGGGCGGTGAATACATAACTCAAACTGAACCGAAGATCGCCCCTCGTGTGCAGCGCCTGAAGGATAGGAGCGATACTGAAGATAAAACTCGAAGTTCGGTCGCTGAGTGGTGGAGTAGCAATCTAGGGACGGGTGATTACAGGAGGGGTCTTCAGCATGTCAGCTCGTACTAGGCGGGAACCTCAAAGCATCGAGAAAAATCGGCCAACGTCAGTGATGAGCGACTGAGTGGATCCTCAACAGCAGCGGGTGCCGGATAAAGATAAGCAGTGGGGTACAAAATAAAAACATCTCCTCCCTTGACGTTCCTTTTTGTGGGGCACGCATTCTAACTCTATTCAGAAACGCAGTGGCTTACTGAATGCGATATGACCTATACAATGCCTCAATCTTTTCCTCTCAAGCGAGTCCGATACCGAGTCACCTCCTCAGGAAGGTAAGGCTTGATTGGCCTTGGCCGGAGCCATCCGGTATTCGATCCCTGTACCGCAGATGTGATGAGGTGCTAACTCCCACTACACCACCTCCACCTCTTCGATGGGGAACTGAACTGAAACGAAAACTCGGAGTTCAGTTTCCAGTGAATCCAAAAAGATGTAAGTGAGTGAAAAATTCAGTCGGAACTTGAATTTTACAGAACATGACAACTACTGACCGGATTTAACGACCGAAAACGGGTGATGGACCGTACAGGAAACATAGTCGTAAGAGTGCGAAACCCGTGGTGTTATAACACCGGTTCCACTTACCCATTACTTTGTCGTAAGGCGCTCTGACGACGTAAACCATGTTTTACTCTGAATATTTCGCCACGGTGGCGCGACCTAGTTCAAAGGGGGGAACGCCGACTTCCAACCTTCTTTTCGGTGGCCGACCTAGCTTAAAGGGAGAAGCGCCGACTTGATCAGATGTGAGGGACGGAGTGAAC